TGCCACTGCATCTGACGAAGAAGACATATATCAATTTGCATATCGCTCCTCGCGGTCAACACTGGACGCCGTTGCATATCTCGTTCATTCAATAATCTCGGCACTAGATAAGAAAACTAAGACCGTCAGAATGATGTTCCTAGACTACAAAAACGCTTTTGGCAGTCTTGATCGATCAGTATTGCTCAACCTGATTACGGAAAGTGGTGTAAATACAAACGTTAGCAGACTGATCTGTGATTATTTCACAGACAGAAAGCAGTTTACATGTTTCAACGGAAAAAAGTCCTCCACTCGCCCTGTTTCTTCTGGTGTCCTGCAAGGTGCAATATTTTCCCCATATTTCTTTTCTATGTATGTCAAACAATTTCCCATTCCTCCTGCATTCATTGGCTGTAAATACGCTGATGACGTTGTTATAGGTTGCAAAGCATCCATTCCAGAAGAGGCTTCCGAAATTCAAAGCAAGCTGAATGACGTTATCCCTTGGTCCCTGTCCCGTTCCTTCTCATTGAANATGTCAGGATGTTGTGTTTTCCCTCTTGGCCGATGTACCATATTCAGCCCTTATAGGTAGGTTCCCCACCCTCTCTGCAAATCAACAACCCCTACCGAAATCAAAAATAGTAAAATACCTTGGCGTCATCCTATAACACAATTTTCATGGTCACAGCACGTTCAAAACACATTCTGTAAAGTTAGAAAGCTTTCATATTTCTCACTCCGATTGAGATTACTTTCTGTTCCCCACAAGCTGATTGTTAGATTTGTGAATGCGTGCGTGCTACCCCACTCGTTGTATTCCTCTCCAGTAATTTTTCCCGGTATTTTGAAAAAAGACTTTTATTTACTGGGGAGATCTCTGAAACACATATCTAAATGTAGTGGCATTGTCAGGGATAAACTGGCCGATTCCATGATTGACAGACACCTACAAGCATGTGAAAATTTCGCCGCCAAAATACTCTCAGACACTCACCACCCATTACACAATGAATTTTCAAAAGCTGTATTTACATCATCCACACGCTCCCGATTTAAACTTTTATTTGCACGTACCTGTGCTTATCGCAATTCTGTTCTGCCATATCTAGCACGTCTACTTATAGACAAGGACACAATTTCCGCAGATTTGTGCAGTTGCTTGCTTTATTGAGAAACACAATATCTACTGCTTTCATTGTATTCACTATGTACGATTTTGTAAATTTGAATCCACAAATATGGTGTAATTGCTGAAAATACACCCATCCGGGTGCATAAAGCTGCTACTGACTTGACTTGAAAAAGATTTTCTTTTTTCCGAGTTAAATCAATTCTGGGAATTGAGAGAGACAGAGGAAAGACATTTCTTAGGGTATATGGGTACTGAAAAAATGAGATCACATCAAAATAATGTTCCGAAATGATGAAAATATACTTCAATATCATGCCCACTTCGCGCGATTTACTTACATCTTGTAGTGTGAGCAAATGCTTAGGTTCCGGTTCCGGTGGTATCAAGTGGCACGTCATCGCACTTAACGGTAACAAGGAATCAGACGAAATGCCCGGTTTGTTCCGATACCCGCACCAAACGGCACAACCTGAGGGATAATCTGAATCTCCTGAGGATACGGTTGTAGAAGATTGCACGGTATATGAATGATGCTCCGGTGTTGTTGATGAAGGTAATGTCATCATCGTTCTTGGTGTAGCCGTCGTGGGTACTGCCGTGGACAAGGTTGAACTACTACTGGCAGGGGTAGCAAAAATGGGAATAGTGTTCAGAAACGTACCGACAGATGACCAGGATTCAGATATCGGAGTCAGTTTCCTAGGTAGGAGAGATGTGCTGGGCGGTGAGGCAATGTACCGTGCACCTGTGTTGCTCATGGTGAAACAGTTTTGCGATACAATCAGTGGGATGGTCGAATCGGATGAGAAGATTTGCATAGTATCACAACTGGGATCTGTGGGCACGGTCCCGGATCCCAATGAGTAAATACTGCGGTGTGCCGTATCGCCGGAGATGGAAGTAAACGAGGGTGGCACAGAATTCACACTAATTGATGGAGCCATCATCTAATTGTTTTAAAGATCAGAAAAAGAACGAAAAAGGTCGTAAAAATTCAGTTCCGGCCGATTATCGTTTAGTGTTACAGAACATACGCATGATACACTCGAAGAAAACGCAGACAAACCCTAGAAAATACCACACGAAATAGGTTTGCAATGGCTTCAGAAAATGGGACTAGTAAACGAATTGTATCGAAACCGGGAATGAAAAAGTGAGAAGTAAAGCAATTATAAACGAAAAAGGGTCACGGCAATTCTCAATGTTAGAAAAACCGAAAGCGATGCAGTAAAGAAATAGGAAAACGATGCTTTCGGAGGAGCTCCAGACAAATCGATAGGGCGAGTCGACTACGGAGTTCAAATTGTAGACTAAATCACAACAGACCGTTGATACAAACCGTAAAATGGACGAGCACGTTTATTAGGGGTGCTCTTCGCTGTGTCCTTCCGCAACGAACTAAAGTACAATCCGATGTTTTGGGGGTATATTTCCTGTGAATAAGATAAGCGAGAAGCGGGTCCCTGGACCGTATTCACCAAAAAGGGAATCCCGAATCAGCAAAAGAAATGAATGAACTCTCATAGACCAAAATCAGTTCAGAGGGATTCCGCTAACAACAAGAGTGCAACCGACTAAACAAAACTAATAGCATGAGTGCTTCAAATCCTTCTCAGAGGATTTTCCACTGATTAAAATAAATATGAAGAACAAGAAGAGAAACGCGAGACTCTACATGTACCTGATATGGCTAGATTAAACAAGTCCGGTGTACCGTAAGACGCATTTCAACCTACGAGGAACACTTTTCAAGTGAAACGGTGAAAAAAAATGACTGATCAGTGATGAAATTTGTGACTAAGGCCACATGGAGATTGACTGAATCATAGAATCACATAAGGAAACAGAAAGCCCCTGGTCCGTTTGAACGAGTAATCTTATCTCGCCGTGTTTCAAAACTAAGCCAGGGGATTACATAGTGGTGAAGACAGTAAAAAACGAACGGTGCTTGACTGGACAACCGTGAACCAAACAGTACAAAATCAACATTTATAAAGAAAAACACCTAATACATTGCGTTGTGCAATCGGCCCCCAAAGGATTGCGGTTTTCCGAAATCAACTAATCCCCTCGTGGGTCACAATTTGGCTAGTCGAAGGCTCCAGCTGAAAATTACGCAAAGGAATTCATCTGTTTTGATTTGGGAAACCTAGAAGATTTTCCGACCACTAGCAAAGTATAGACCTTCTGTTTTTATAAAGATTATTGCACTGTGACTTTTTTGTCACATAGTTAGGACTCAGACGTGTATGAAATGTAATAATATAACAATAATAATAAAAAATAACATTGCGCGCACTAGTAAGACTGATGTTATGACTGTGCCATAAACGCTCCAAATTAGAAAAAGCCAGGGAAGCTTTCTCAACCAGTATAGAGATCGCCCAACCTAAACCTCCACCAAGTGTGTTACGGTTCTCAGGAAAAAAGAAGTCAATGACGATTTCAAGTCAGTCACCGGCTAGTTTGAGAGCAGGCACAGGTTACCACAATCTTGAGTAAGTAGTCGACAAGAATCACCT